TACAGGGTGTCTCATTTGAAAAAATCACATAAACTTGAATCGAAGTGGGCGAACATGCAAGCAATAGTTGAAGCCCCCTTTTCGAATATCGATAAAGATCAGAGTATCACACGCTACTTTCGTATTCTTCACAGAGAGAAACGTTTCTTTGCGTGAAACAATCTCATTTGTTTGACTTATATTTGTTTGCAAGAAATAAATGTTATTTGCGAGAAACAATTGTTATTTCTTAAAACCAAATCAAATTCTTTGTTTGAAATCATCGGTTCATTTGAATGACATTTGTTTGGGTGAAACAATAGCATTTGTTGAAAATATATTTATTTCGAAGAAATAAATGTTACTTGGAGCAAATAAATATTATTTTGAACAGAAATATCACATTGTTGGCGAAAAATAATTTTGATATAAATATGAACAATTGATATAGTTGTCATGCACAAACAAAAAATTTGTATTTAAAAAATATAATTTGAACAGAGCGAATGTGTCATTCATCTCGAATAAATGCTCATTGAAATTACATTATGGAATTGTTCTTTTGAATGACAGCACAATTTATAACAAAATATAGTAATTTTTGGTCCAAATCAAATATTGCTTTGATTATATGCGCTTGTTCGTCGAATGTTCGCATGATCAGGAAAATGAGAATCCAGATCCAGTAAAAGTAAAAACAACTGACTTATTCTCTTGTACCAAAGTAAAATCGACGATGCCCATGACTAAAAAAATCACCAAACCAAAACTGTTCAGTTCGGTGGCGTGACTTGTTTCTATAATATCCAAAATCAGGGTTGCCAGATCTGACAACAAATTAGGCGCTTTTGTCTTTGGGTCGTCAATGGCTTTTTGACATGATTTCAAGAATTGATGTTTTATGGCTGGATCTCCTGCAAACCCAACATGAAGTTGTATCTTTACTCGAGCTGAATACCTATTCTGGACATGACTGATACGCAATTTGAAGCAAAATTTTGAACCTGAAATGCTCGGTTATCAAGTATTTTTGAAAAACGGGTAAACGTCCAGTCAGCAAACTTTAATTTTGGTCTTCGAATTATATTTCCCTCTACTTTGGACTCGCCTGGCACCTACTTCTAATCAAAACCGTCTGTCAATTCGTATCTTTTTTCTACAATGTCTAATTGACATCATAATATAATTTCAGGTTTACAGCGGCAAGTTAATTTTTCAAATTATTTTTACACTTGAAAAATTAAGGAGATGATGACATGCAAGGGTTAGACCTTCATCCTTTGATTCATCACTATAAAAATTTCTTGTCTTATACAGATAATATAAAAGGTTCACGAGCTCTCCGGCTCCATCTGGCAACCCTGTCTGAAACGTATACAACTACCAGACCCACCATTACGCATTCGTTTTGTATCTCTGATGATGTGGTTCGCCGGGTCGTATCGTACAGTGGTGATTTAGTATAGTTAATTCCACAGGATATTTACAGATTTTCACTATTGTCTTAATGTGTAGTGATGGATTTTTCAGAAGAATGGCATTTGGGTCATCTGGTCCCAATTTTCAGAGGTAAGGAATTGTAATTCATACTTGAAAATCGGAATAATGGCGTGAAATTTTTTATGATTTGTTGATTATCTGATGTTTTCATACCGATCTCCATCAAAAAGACAAACCGTGCAATTTGGTAGGTCATAGAAGGATGTACGAATAGGTAGGTAGGTATGTGTGATATTTCGTAGATAAGTATACTTTCTAATCTGCTGTATATTGAAATATTCCAGTGAAATGGCGTTCAAATTCTTCTATGATTTTCAATAGAAGATTCCATGCAGTCAAATAAATATTTCTTTAATTCAAATGTCACCAGCTTCACTTGAAACAAAATATTTGTTTCCATGAAACAAATGATAATTAGTATGTTAAATGTTTTGATTCTATGTTAGCATCTTCGGGAGAATATTAAAACTCTAGAATCACCCCTTGAATTTTTTCGGTGTTATTTAGATATACCCTGTATAAGTATTTTGAGATATCATGTAACTATATAGAGAAAATAATCACTAGAACAAAAATTATCACAGCTCTTTTCTTTATATGAAAAGTTGTCATCAATGCACTTCAATGTTATGGAATTTTTATTTCCTTGTGATGCATATATTTCATCTATTCCCGCATTAAAATATACTAAATTTTCAGGAGAGCACAATGAGAAATCTGCTACGCCTGTCATTGATGTGAATACTCCAGTGATTTCCGAAAACATTTTTATTGATGCTGATGCACCGGATGATAGAGCCGATGATCCACCTGCCAAATATTTGAGGTTGGATACAAATAACAGCGATCAACCTGCTTCAGGATCATCATGTATCTTGACTTCTGTAGTATCGAACCCAAACAGTGTGTCTGTCACATTTTTTCTATTATTCAATAAAGTTTGTCTTAGTTCAATTTTGTTGTTAATTCTCAATTCCTTCCAAGAGGAGTATTGTTTTCTAAGAAATGAATTTCTTCTTAGGAAGATTCTATTTTTTTGAGTTTATTGATTTTTGATTTCGTTCAAATCTAAAATTTATTTCTGGTAAAGGAATCCATTATTTGAGCTTGTTTCTTCCAAACAATTTCCTTGTTTTTCTCAAGCATTGACATCTTTGAATCAAATTACATTTACATATATTTGTTTTTCACAAATAATCATTTGTTCCTTCCAAAGAATGTTCTTGTTTCTGTCAAGCTCTGTTTTCTTTGATACAAATTTCATTTACATATATTTATTCTTCACAAATAATTATTTATTTCTTCCAAATAATTTCCTTGTTTCCCTCAAGCTTTCATTTCTTTGATGCAAATTGAACTTATTCACTATGAATAATTCTGATAATAAATCCAAAGAAATAGTTTTGATTCAAACAAATATACACTTTCTTCCAAATTATGAATCATATCATTTTCAATAAATTATATAGATACAAAAAAATCACTTATTTGAAAAATCAAAAGAATGGAAACTTTGATTCAACCAAGCTTGTTTGTTGGACCTATTCAAACTTCGGATTTCTTTGAATTTAACAATATTTGTTAGATTCAAAGAATTGTTTTTCTCTGTGTTTACGTCAATCCACCAGACAAAATTCAGATCTTCGAAGAAATAGCTCAATCACAGTTATTTCATTCAGAGCCTGCATCACTCTCTATTTTTTGGAAAAACAGTAATAAATTGGCAACAGCACCTTGTAGCGAGAAAAATAATTCAGTGATGAGTAGGCAACGAAGGACCATTTCAATTACAGGAAATTAGACGGGTTGTTCTATTTGAAAAATACATATTTTTTGTTATTACGGAAAAACGCAACACCCTGTGAAAGGGGAACAATTTTTGAAATGTGGCCCTCGTGCTGCTATAGAACTTTCATATGGATATTTTCTCCATATATTACAGCATTATCAAGATATAGAACAAATATGCACTGTTGGGACACCTGGTATATATAAAGAAGTTCATTGAGAATTCGCATTCTCTATGTGATGGAAATATCAATTCTTTCTCGGTTTATTCAACAAAAAACAACTACTTTCCTGGCTATATGCCACGACGAACAATGAATTATATCTATTGAACACACACGATAAGAATTTGAAAACAAAATCTTCTGCATTCTCCTTCATATGCATATATCATTCTGAATATTCAACAGAAAACAACTACTTTCCTATCATGAAGAAAGACTGGAAACATATCTTAACTTCAGGTTACTGATGAGGATTCGATATCTGAAATGAGTTTATTCGAGTGAAGTCATATAACCTATTTGTGAGAGATATAATTCCCATATCACTGAAACGAATGATTTTTTTCTAAGTTCCATGCTCATCAAGATCAGAGTTTATACAAGTATACACCTCCCATACATTTCAATCTTCATTCCATTCATTTTCATTATATATCATATTACCTTATCCGATTTGAGAGATAATGTTAATTCACAATTTGAGAGGATTCTCATTTTTCATGCAGCCCCTTTGAATATTCAACAGATATAATTCAATGTTCGACGTGGCAAATAGCCAGGAAAGTAGTTGTTTTCTGTTGAATATTCAGAATGATAATATCTAAAATATCTTCACATGAAGGAGAATGCAAATTGTCTACTTCAGAAGATTTCGTTTTCAAATTCTTATCGTGTGTGTTCAATAGATATAATTCAATGTTCGTCGTGGCATATAGCCAGAAAAGTAGTTGTTTCCTGTTGAATAAACCGAGAAAGAATTGATATTTTCATCACAGAGAGAACACGAATTCTCAATGTAAAAAAAATACCTACCATATGATCCACCAACATCAGTTCTGAAAGCGAATAGATTCACTGAAATAGGAGTCATGCAGTGGCTATCTGTTTCTCTATGGTTGTTATATTCAACTATGATATTTATAGATAAAATACTGAATAACTTATCACCTTCCTACTTTCGTGAATCTATTAATTCGAATCTAGATGTTCACAAATATGCCACCAGAATTAATACAAATAGGCATGTATGCAGAACGAATAGAAAAAGTGCCATGAATTCTTTGTTCTTCAAAGGCTTTCCTATATATAACAACTTACCAAACATCGTTGAATCTTATTTGAAAAAAAATTCATTGGAAACCATTGAAAACGTTATATAGAAAATATTCTTTTTCAAAAGAGAATTTCAATAATGTAGTATTTGTATGTTGTTTTTGATCTATTTCACAATAATATTGGAGCTGTACCTATTTTCCATAATTTTTTGTACTGTGATGTAATTTTTTATAGGTTATGTGTGTTTGTTGGTTTTCAAACTGAAATGTTGAAATTGACGCTGTAACTAACTATATTTTTATAATTTTTTTCTCAATATCTTTAGTGATATTACGATCAATATAATTGTTTTATATGTATATTAGGGTTACCTATTTCAAACAAATGTTCTTCTTCTTCATCAGTATCCAAAAAAGGAGAAGTGAAACAAAACTTGATTATTATAATTTCCAGGTCCTCTTATCTCACTTCGACGCCTTCAAATTCCCCTCGTCCGAAGTGGTCCAATTCCGCGCCCTAGTCACACCCTGTATGCCCCACTGCGAACCAGTCCAATGCGACGAAGAAGAATCCACAGGTGACCTGCGCAGCGTCATCTCTTTCGGTAAGCGCAGACGCAGACGCTCGACCAATCCCAACGAAGACCTGTTGCTCGTCCAGTCCATCCAAATCACCGACAAGTTCGGTTTCAACGGGGAAAACAACAGAACGGAAAGCGAAGCGGTGTTTATTCCCGCCAACGCACCTTGCGTGAATGTCGCAGGTTTGGTGGTTGCAGCTGCGGTTTTCTTGTCTGCGCAGCTGGTGGTGATTGCTGCGTGGACTTTCATTTGGCAGAGGAGGAGATTGGGGGGGAAGATTGAAGATGGTGTTTCTGTGGCGCAATCTTTGGGGCACGGACGCACTGACAGTCTGTGTAAGTTGTACGAAGGAAGCGGCTTTTCGCATCATAGGCGATTTTAGGTGGATGAAAATGGGGAAGAGAGGGATGATTTGGTCTTCGAGTATTGTGTTTTTTGAATGATGTGTAGTTGGTTGAGGTATGAAATGACGTTTTACGGACGAACCAATTCAACAATTCAATCTTGCTATATATGAGATGTCTCTGAATCTGAAGTTTTATTGTTCTACTAAATAAAAAGCATCGAGAGTTGCTGGTATTGATAACGAATATTTAATGTGACGTCATTTCATACTTAGTGGGTATTTGTTTATGCGACTGTCCTCTTACCAACTACATTTTCATCGGTACACATAATAGATCTGCCTTCTCAATACAAGGTGATTGATTATTTTCTAATGAAGCATAGTGAGCGATTAGACTATTACAAATTAGGTAGCGTCAAGTATACAGTGTGTCCCACTTTCCCACTTACCATGCTCACCATGAGTATCTTTTTAACGGTGAGAGATACGAAGTCGGTTAAATGACACCAAATGTGGAGTTTGTCAAGGCCAACTATAATGTGAAAAAATATTTTGATAAAATCTATTCGTTTTTGTTTTATACGCAAAAAACAGATTTTGATCATTTTCATGTCGCCTCCGTAACTTCTCTATTTATGGAAATATTCAAATAGGAATTTCACATTCTCATGGCAGTTTTTCAAAGTGATTTCGAAAAACATATTAAATTTATACCAACTCTTCTAGAAATTGAGATATCAGCACCAACTTTAGTTTTTCGAATGTAGGTCATAGCTCACTATGACTTAGTTACAAATAACTTTTTTTCCTCTTTCAGATGATATGTCGCAGTAATAGTTTTGTGTTGATAACAACGGAATTATCGTCATTTATACAAAAACAAAGAATCATTTGGAAGCCGCCATCTTGAATTTATAAATTTCAACAAGAAAATCATGATCTCCGACCTCAAAAACCCCCACTTACCAATGTTGAATGGAATCGGACCAAATCTTGTCCGCCATCTTGGAGCAGCCATTTTTTTGAATTCAACAAAAATTACATAATGTATTGTCACCGAAATTATGAACACCTGCCAAATTTCAAGTTAATCGGAGTTATGGAATGGCTGCTCCAAGATGGCGGACAAGATTTGGTCCGATTCCATTCAAAATTGGTAAGTGGGGGTTTTTGAGGTCGAAGATCATGATATCTTTGTTAAAATTCATAAATTCAAGATGGCGGCTTCCAAATAATTTCTTGTTTTTGTATAAATGACGATAGCTCCGTTGTTGTCAACATAAAACTATTACTGCGACATATCATCTGTAAGAGAAGAAAAAGTTATTTGTAACTAAGTCATAGTGAGCTATGACCTACATTTGAAAAACAAAAGTTGGTGCTGCTATCTCAAATTCTAGAATAGTTGGTATAAATTTCATATCTTTCTCGAAATCACTTTGAAAAACTGCCATGAGAATGTGAAATTCCTATTTGGATATTTTCATAAATAAAGAAGTTACGGGGGAGACATGAAAATGATCAAAATCTGTTTTTTGCGTATAAAACAAAAACGAATAGATTTCATCAAAATATTTTTTCACATTATAGTTGGCCTTGACAAACTCCACATTTGGTGTCATTCACCCGACCTCGTATCTCTCACCGTTAAGAAGATACCCATGGTGAGCATGGTAAAAGTGGGACACACTGTATATGATTATTCGAGGAGTTACATGGCATTGAAGTGCATCTATAGAATTCTTTCAAATCAATTATTTGAAAATCATTTCTTGACTTAATTGATATCCTCCTTTGATTACCATTTTATCATTATTTCAGAATCATCATTGATAAGGGTCCAAATACTGAATTTCACTTCAAAATTTTTTTAAGAATGATTTTCGTCGAGAGTTCTCTATAATTCTGAAAAACCAACTCAAATATTCAAGGAAACAATCACAAGTTCACCTTCTACGGGCATTTCCAGTAAGTTATAATGAAGGATAAGGTAAAAAAGTATGGTCCAAATAGCAGAGATTCTTGACATAGTGGAATGCATAGTACGCACGAAATGGGGAGAGTTTTCCACAAGCGCGTGATTGCTTTACAACTGGAGAATTGTACTATACTTCTTCTACGACTACACCATACTTCCTTCAGATGTTGTGTTTAGACATCAATATTGAATACGTTTCTCACTTTAAGTCAACTGCATGAAATAATACAAATTTGAATGATAATATTGGTTCATTGGTAAAATTGCATTAGGAGCGATCTTTCTCAATTCGAACTGAAATGGATCCGTTTTTCATATGTTAACAACTTTAAATGAGAAACTCATTTGCAATAAAAATAAAAAAAATCAACATTTCATAATGGTTACTAATTTACAGTCACTTTGAAGTTGAAAGTAACAAAATATCTTTCGAAATGACATGATTTTATTACTGAGTAAGTTTTTGTAAGCGGAACTCCACTGGTAGCAATTCATTCATTGCCATTTTCGATCTTTCCAGAATTTATGGTAGTGTATAAATAATCTCATCGTCATAGCTTGACACTTTTTAACTGATATCGGGAAATATCAACAAAATATGATCCTTCCCAACAAATATTACTTGCCTGCTTTCGGATTATACAGGGTGTTTCAGTTTTTTGTAGCAGGACTAGAACAGCTTGAAGAAGACATTTTTTTAAGATGAAAATCTCATACAAACATATATGCGTGGAAGCTTCGTTTACGATTTACAGGGTGCCAAAGTTTCAGATTTTTTAAATGTTTTTTGAATTTTGTCCTACAATTTTCGGAATAATTGATTGAAATTCGATACACATAATACACTTCAAAAACTCAATATTTGAGGCTATTGAGCGTTTTTGAATACCTACAGGGTGATAGACTTTCAGGGATCGTACCCAATTTCACCCTGTAGAACTTTTTTGCGTACCGTCCCTGCTTTAAATGGGACATAGATTCAGTTTGTCTCTGCAATTTGGAAACGTTTTGGAAATGTTTGAGAAATGTCAAATAAGTGTTTTTCAGAAATAACGGTTTAATTACCAGTAATTTATTTTTTGCATTTATCTCGAGATCCATACAGTTTTTGATAAATTTACATGGGAGCAAAAAGTTTTCAAATTGAAAGGACAACCTGAATCTATGTCCCATTGAAAGCAGAGGCGGCACGCAAAAAAGTTCTACAGGGTTAAATTGGGTACGACCCCTGAAAGTCTATCACCCTGTAGGTATTCAAAAACGCTCAATAGCCTCAAATATTGAGTTTTTGAAGTGTATCAGGTGTACCAAATTTCAATCAATTATTCCAAAAATTGTAGGAATAAATTCAAAAAACATAAAGAAAATCTGAAACTTTGACACTCTGTAAATCGGAAACGAACCTCCCACGCATATATGTTTATTTGAGATTTCTATCTAGAAAAAATGTCTTCTTCAAGCTGTTAAAGTCCTGCTACAAAAAACTGAAACACCCTGTATAGAAAACTTGATCAATTGATGAAAAGATAAGTAGCTAGCCTCTGATATTTACTGACAGAACGCCTAAGCAACAAAAAAAAGTCATATATCAACATACCTATGCAAAACTAACTGACATTGTTTTCTATTGAATATCTATCATTTTCAATTGTAGTCGTACGAATAATACTTTATTGTCTTAATACACATCAGTGCTTTGTATAACTCATTGACACCTCTCGAAAAAAAATATCGCTCACTTCATCGCTTCTGGAAATACTTCAGTCACTTTCCATAAGTCCATCTGTCGAAATTAAGATGTAATATGTAGGATTCCAGCTCAACAGGTCTTCATTTCATCCAAACTTATTAGTTTTTTCATCATCACACAATGATCATTATTTCAAATTGTTTGATGTCATGTGACGCGCCAATGTTTATACCTGTACGAATATAGGTATAGTCCCGATAGGGAAAAAAATAATTGTCATTATCGCTCATATAACTACAAAATATAGGACTACATTTCATACGTAATTCATAGTTGCCCGAACGATTAGTTTTCGAAATAGTAAGTTTATTTCTGAATTATTTTTCAGAAGCAACTACTGAAAAATTCGAGGAAAAATTTAAACTTTCAATTCTTGAGGATATTTTTTAATGCAGCTGCAATATTTAGTCCTGATACGTACTCATGAAGAAAGTGGATCAGCCATATGAACTCGCTTTATGTTTATGGTTGATTTTTCAAATAATTGTTGATCTAGATTCACCTCGATTTTTTTCACAGACAATATCATTGAAAATCACTGAAGATCTCACATGAAGATGGTCGAAAAAACTACCCTAGGAATGAGTCTTCAACTTCTTTGTTTCAGTGATTTGGGATGTTTCTGAATTGAAAAATAAAATCAAAATACCATGATGAATGCGTTCATATTATATGTTGAAATTTCACTTACCTCTTGAAAAACATCCTTGAAAGCCTAAATCATTATACAAATTATCACAGTTAGTACACGCCATGCTATTAATGGACCAGAATAAAATTCCCTGACCAAACTCAGGCTCCACAATTATATTATGAAAAATATTGATAAAAAAACACGAATTTGAACATATCACGTGATGGCAATGGTTCGAAAGATTTAGGCACTTCTCAAGGTAGTCTGAAATTTGGTGCGACGTTGAGAAAGTCCATGAAATGATTTCAACTCATAAGGTTGTCAAACGTAGAAAAACCTATACAGGGTGGCCCTTTGAAAACGAAACAGAGGCACTGAAAATCGCCAAAACTGGAATATGAAAAAAATCTGAAACTCGTCAACTACATTTCTGAGGGGAGAATCATTCTGAAATATTCCCAGCTTTGCAGCGTTGCCGCTTCTAACGAAAAGAAGCAACAACTTTGTTATTTCGAATGGAACACCTTGTTTTCCATTACATGGTTGGATTCTTCTCAAAGAGCTCATTTCATCAATGAATCAAACTTGGGGTCTAGCTGTAATGATTTCAGGGATTTCGGGTGTTCAAAAGCGATATTTTTCAACTTTGGCATTTTTTTGTGTCGAAATTATTC